AAGTACAAGTACAAAGGCCACGTTGTGAAGGCATTGAAAGGCTTCAGTTGTCCGTCAGAGGTTTTTTTCTATCGCTCGTAATGCGAACTCATCTACACGAGACCTTTTCGCTGAGAAAAAACACTGAGAAATATTGTCAATCCTTCACGATGGCTTGCCATAACATCCTTCTGCTGTACTGCCACTATACGTGCTTCGGGTCCTTTTTTACACTGCCCCAATGGCTTCAATATCTTTTTTGCCATTAATTTTTCTTTTATTTTTTCGTGTAAAAATGGATTTTTTGCGCTCATTTAAAGAGTTGATCCTTTTGATCTCGTGAGGAACTTCTTTTCCCAGTGTCCAAGTGAAATTAGGTGGCGCCTGCTAGTCCTTTGTCTACATAATCAGGACTTTTCAAAGTTACTCTGTTCAATTTACTCATTAGTGTCAATCTGCGATGGTCTGGAAAGGCAGTCTTTCATCCTGAATTTTTTCGGTTGTTCTTCTGCGAAGAACTCCCTAGCCATTTGCATGGGTTGTTCTTTTCTATCACATTTTGCTATTCTGATGATCTCAAAGGGACAGTTTCAGTAGTGGCAGTAAGGTTTCCAAGACCCATGTTACGATCCAAAAGCTTTGCTACACGGGGGGTCATAGAAAAAAAGTCTACCGCTTCGGTAATGGCGTTAAGGGATGATCAGCTGTCGAAATCATGGTGGCTTCTGTTCTCCCAATTTGGTGCGATACCCACGACTGACTGGTCCTGGGAGTAGGGAGTTATCAGGAAGCCATACTAGTAACTAGCATAGTAACTACTAGTTGATTCGAGAGTTGCTTCTAGATTGATACGCAAGTTGGTTGCACATGAAAAAGAGACCATTCGTAGGATAAAGTTGTAGTCGAAAATTTTATTTTCTACCTTCAAAACTGATATCGAGTTTTTTAAATTTCGCTACCGTATTCCTTCTTATTAGGCCCCTCGAAGCTGATAAAAGGTAATAGAATTGGAGCCATTAATCGTAAGTGATAGTGCAGATCCCATCATTTGCGATAAATCACCAGTTTTAGCTGGTAGCTAGCGGCTGTTCTTTTGATCCGTCCAGCTTGTACTTTACCCTACTGTCTGCAGTAATTAGTATGACCTGCTCTATACTTTTTACGACCAAGTCTATATTCTCACCGTCCTGAACAACTTTTTAATTACTGGAACCCTCTTACCTTTTACTGTTGTCCCTCCATTTACTTTCATCGGCTTGGTTCAAGTCGAGTAACGTAGAAAAATCTTCTCCTTCATCCTTTCAGCCCCTCAAGAAGTGAATCATTCCATATCTCTTTCTATTATTTTCCAAAAGCTTTTTTTTTCAAAAAAGCTAACACTTTTTCGAAGAAAGGGGGAGGAGGCTTTTCGAACCAGGCTCTGACCCTGCCCACTGGGGGCTCACTGGGTAGGGAGCAATGGTGGTACAATGGCTAGAAGTATCTAATACTGGTGGTTGTGAAACGGTGGTTGTAGCATAGAGGTGCAGGCTGGAGCGGTTTGCGCAGTAATGGTAGCACTTATGTTGTTGGGTGGAAAATTTTACCTGGGAAAGTTTGGTGGAAAATTTAGCGTGATAAAAATCCAGAACCATTTGCATATTTTGCAGAAAATGTCGGACGATCTCAAGAAAGCGCTACAAAAAGTGGACGAGCATCAGATGACAATGGATGTGCTCGAAGTTTCGCATACACAGGAACGAGTGGAAGCCCTCAGAAAGGATTTGCAAAAGAGAAAAGAAAGAGCTGCAAACGATAGAGAAGAGTGGAATAAACTCCAAAAAGTAAGTCATGGTTATTCCTTAATTAATACTTGGGAGGCTACTCAACTGGTTGCTCTCGTTAAGTTTCGAGAGCTTTTTACATTCGTAATTGCTGATCGAAAGAAATGGTCTCATAAAGCCCAAATAATCAAACTTTTCCTTATTCCTATCTCTCTTTCAAACTTCTCTTTTTGAAGCTCTTGCTTGTCGAAGCGTACATAATCCAAAAATCCCAAGTTTTGTTCCCTCACAAGTCTTTACTTGGCCCATATGGCTCTCTCATTACTTCTCAGTCCCAAGTGGGAGTGGGATTTTACGCGATCTCTTATCCTACATCTCGTTTTATCGGGTTGTCACACTAAACTACTGCGGTGGCTCTCCCTGGGTGTTTTACTTCACTAAATTGGGAATTCATGTTTTTTATCAATGAATTTCAGGTACTGTTCGAAGCAGAAAAAGGTGTTGCAATGGGTGACAAAGCGATGGATCGTTTCAGTGGGCGAGAAGCAAGTCCTCGTTTGGAAGAACTTGAAGAAAGACAGAAAATTGTTGAAGAGGTTTGCTCCTAGCTATTCCATTAACCTTGATTTACATGAGTTCTTTCCTGGGTCAGAAGGGTGATGCAACTGTAGCCTCTGAAGGGCATGCCGTCAGTCGTAGCAAGAGCAGCGTACTAAGGGGATTGGGCCAAAAGAAAACCCCTACATAACTTAGCTGGTAAAATAGACGAGATAGCTTGATTTAGTATTCATCTTCTTTTTTTATTCGTTTAGTTTGGTATAGCAGTTAATTAGGGCCCTTAACAGCTGTGCCCTACGTTTATACTGCCTTTATCGCGGCGAGCGATAATTTCTAGCAACTGGCGCGCTCCTCAGCAATCGCCAAGTGTGAACGTTTCAGATGCTGCCACGTGTCGATTCGCTGGTTATTGATGCTATACGACGTTTGGGTCTGATTCTTCCCAGGCTTACTGAAGGTGGCGAACGAGCGAACTCGATCCGGAATCGTACTCGTAACGTTGAGACGAGATTCCGTGAATTGGTACGAGCCGTACGAGAAGCCAGAGTTCGGCTTGATGCACGAGCAGTCGATCAGAGCCAACTCAGACATGATCTCGAGAATCTGCAATTTTGGTAGGAGCAGCCACTTTTTTCCACACTAGCAGTTATCGATTTATCGATCTTCTTATTCAAGGTTTGACGAAACAGCTGTTGAACTTGATGTGGACTTCAATCCATATGATCTGAAAGCGATCGACGAAGCGATTAAGGTGGCAACAGCTAAGAACGATCAAATTGCAGAAAAGTCAGCTTTCAAAATTATTGATTGGACAATAGTTTTTCGGCGACATTGCCGTGACATACACTCCTGAAACTTTGTAAACCGTAAAGTGAATGTGTCCTCTACTTTTCAGAAAAACAGCGCTCATAAATCTCGAGAATGCCAAGGAGCGTCTGCTGGCCCAAGTCAGTGTCGATCCTGGGGCTAAGCATGATGTACGACGAGGTGTCAGTGAAGTCGCAAAGCGCATTGCTGATGTGGGTGTTTCAATTTTGATGACCTATTTATCGAACGTTGATTTTTATCGATCCTTGTTACGATTTAGTTACGTAGCGACTTGGTCGATCGGCTACACTCACTCGCCCAGTGTAAACGTGAATGTGAAGCGTTCTGGCGACAAGTGGACGATATGGCGCGACGCGGTGCCGATTTGCAGCGGCGATGTCAAGCCATCAACGATGCCGTCATTTTCACACCATCACCAGACCATGTGCTGTCTTGTCGTCATGACGCTGAGACGCTTAGGAAGGACATCGCCTCCATTAAGGAACGTGTTCAGCGAGCTAACGCCGAGCATGTCAAGCTTGGCGGCAAAAGCGAAAAGGTGAGTGGAAAAGGGCGTCAGCGACTTTTATCGATTTTTACGCCTACCTTGGGCCGCGCCCTTTTTCGCAAATTGCATGCACTATAGAATTTTGATTACACGGTAGCCACCCATAGTGAATGCAACGTTTTGAACGATAAGCGATTTTCTCTCACAGTAATCGATAATTGTTTAAGTGGGGAAGTCTGCTGTGTACAAATCAATCAATAATCGATTTTAGAAGATTGTCACTGTAATCACGTCCTGCAACACTGCCATTTCGTTCGCAGCAGCTTTAGCTGAACCACCGGTGTCCACCACTGATGACTCGCTTCACGACTCTACACATTCTCAGAGTACGGTAGTAGATGCGTCCCATCGCGATGGCGCCATCACCCAAGCTTCGACAGCAGTGAGTTTTGGAGAGTTTTCCCGAGATTCCCGTTCTGAGACGCTCTTTTTTGAAGGAAATGATCGAAGAGGAAGATGGAGTTTTGAGTGAAGAGGAAACGATTGAGCCTGAATATCAGGGCACACTTGAGTCCGTGACCGGTTCGGCAAAGGACGACGACGAAAAGCAGTGAGTTGTTATGTAAATACAAATGACTACACCCCATTTTGCTATGCTCTGCCCATCCTTTTTAGCTTGGTACGGTTGGATAAAAAGACTTCTTTTCAGTGGTATGCCTCGTCTGAATGCTCGCGATACGAACAATTGGCAAGCTTTAACGCAGTTACGGCATTGGCTTAATGAATTGGAGCGGGATGCCAGTCTTACCGTAGACCTATGCGATCGGACAGCAATCCGTGAAATGACGAATACGGTACAGGTGAGTAGTTAGATTCTGATTATCACCGTATTGCAGCTCGCATAATTCCTTTCGCTAATTGTATGGACCAAATGAGTTAGGTCACAGTTCTAGGCTACTTCGTGTAGCCCGTAGCCCTCCGAGGCAAGCCTGACTTCCAGTTTTCGGAAAATGGGATTTCTGTTCTGCTAAGAATCATTTGTATAGAACTACTGCCCTCCATCCAAACCAAAGCCCTCTTATTGAGTTCCCTAAGAGCATTTGCTTATTTGACCGATCTATCGAGTCTATTGGTAAATAAATATGTTATTTACTCGATGGGTAGGCTACTTGTCTTCAGGGAATCATGGACCATATACGAATGAAAATTATGGATGTGGTTGGTATACAAGATGTCAGTAGCGCAAATATGGTAAAACAGAAGGCAAGAGATCTGGTGAGGATTTATTTATTCGTTTACGTGTTCATTTTCTTGATTACTTATTTACTTCTGCACACAAAGTGTTGGATTTATTGG